AAAACCTAAAACATGGGATGGAGCCGGAAGAGGCAAACTAATGGTGAGTTGGGTACAGATGAAACTTTTTCCTTGCACTTGACAGGTGAGGCACTAGCTATAAGTGGAGTAGTAGTTCACTAGCTCCCCACTTGATGTGTTATGGGATTCACAACCTAATAGAAACCGAGGAAGCTCGATCAAGTTTTGCCATTGAAGTTACTGTATGACAGAACAATTTTCATTGGGGTTATATAGCTCAATCAGAATACCGGACAGTTAAAATACGAGCTAAGCCCAAGCCTGTGATCAACGGGCTTGACCGGGCCGGGCAGCCCGTGGCCAACTCAAGCCGTAACATGTAGAACTAGGCAATAGTTAACGGTAAAGTTCAGTGAATAGTGTGTATTCTGTAATCAATGGAACAACCAAGGAAACCCGCCACTGTAACTATTAGAAGAAATACCAAACAAATTCAACATTTATAAATCTTTTCAGCTCAAACGACAGGAGCTTTTTGATCGTCGAATACCATTTGTGTTACACCACCAACACCACCACTACATGGATTGTATGCTTGTAAATCCAATAACAAAGTAGAAACGTGCAAGTATGCTGGGCATAAATCCCATTTGCATTAAGCACCTGTGTATAATACTAAAACTCAAAACAACAAAACAAAACGAAGCAAAAAAGGGTCATGTGCATTGATGACTGATAAAAGTCGCAGCCAGCACGCATATCCAGAGACCCATAATTATATTTGATATGTATAATGTATCTAATATTTTCAAAAGCCATGTCAACAGATTGAGAGGAGACTTCTAAGCTTCAAATGACAGGCATATACCACCAAAAACGAGCGATAGTACCCTCATCAAATTCGATTACGGATCTTGGGCCCCACTTACTTTACCGCCTTCACACCAACTGTCTTAACACGAAACCGGTACTGAGGGTGACAATCGTCATCTTCATCATCATCATCAGTTTCTTCTTCGCTCGACTCGTCTTCAACGCGGTCCCACCTCGAGTAGTCAAGATGGGAGTGCCCTTTCGGTTTTGGGATAGTCTGCCAGCCTGAGGCCTGTCGACTGAGGGGTCCTTGCTCGATCTGGTTCCGGGAGGGTGATTCTTCGGATGATAATTTGACTTTTTCAAAATCACTATTTTTTGTGTTGTTTGCTGTTACGGCATTATGTTGTCCGCCATTTTCTATAGCTGCTCGATCTTTAGCCTTTTTGCAGTCGTCTTCTTTTTCTCCTCCTTCATTGCTGTTGTTGAGTTCTGTTTCGTCTATGTGACTATCATCTTCTTCACACTCGGCTTCATCTTCAGGTATTGGGGCAAGCGACTTTCCTTGAACAAAACAACACATCTTTCAGCGAATAAGTAAAATATTGACAGGAAAATGTTTGAACAAATGGAAACCACATTATGGCCACATAGACGAAGAAGAAGTTATGCAATAATTAGCATTATATATACCTAAAAGTGAAAAAAAAA